TTTTTTGGTTGCAGCCGTCATTTTTTTTTTGGCGGGTCCGGGCTGGGGATTCAAACCCGCCACCTTAGGTGTATGTGGCTGGCGCCTTAGCCGGTTGAGCTATAGGCGCTGAGCCAGGACTTGATCTTTTTGAGCCTCAGTTTTCTCATCTGTAAAATGGGGGCCCTTTATGCTTCCAGGCTGGGATGATCCAGAACAAGCATGCATTCAGTAGGTGCTCCAAAAGTGTTGTGATTTTCACCATCCCAAGTCCGACTCTTCTCAGGGCACCGTGCCCAGCCCTTATTGCCATGCACTATAACCTACTTTACAGAGGGGGAAACTGGGGCTAGAAGGTCAGAGACTCTCTGGGGCCCACAAACTCTGTGGGAAAAGGTCCTAAGTGTGCTGGTGTGCATGGGAGGGTGACCCTGTGTAGTGGATGTGTCTCTGCCGGGAGAGGCGGGCCAGGAGGAAAGGGATGGATGTCTGTGGGCAGCCTGCAGTCTCCGTGATAAACCTTATCAAACTGCCTTTCAGGTAAATATGGGCCTCTGCCAGGCAGTTGCAGCTCCTGCCTGTGCTCTCTGCCCTCAGAAGAGCTAGACTTCCACACCAGAGTCCAGCCAGGGGCCCCTCACTGACCTCAAGAAGCCAGCCCAACTTCTGGCATTTGAGGCCCTTTTCCTAGGAATGGCCAACAAAGAAGACTGGGCACTGGACATCTGGGGATGGGATGCCTGGGGCCTCGACATCCCTCCACCCAATGGAATAAGGCAAATAACAGCTGCTAATGTCTACAGTGCACTCCCCCACACCAGGCTCTTCTCACTTAACAACCTTCCAATGTGAGTCCTTTATACATCATGAAAGTCAGGCTCAGAGAGGCTGAGTAACTGTTCTCAGGTCACACAGCAGGTAGGTATCTCAGCCTGCATTAGAACCCAGGTCTCTCTGTCCAGCCCCTGAGACTGAGGCAGCCTCCTGAAGCTTGGAGAAGGAACTCCTGGGACACAGAACTGCCTACACAGTTCTGGAGCCAGCTAGACTCTTTCTCTGCCACCCAGACCTGGTTTGGGCTTCATCCCAGTGCCTGGTCAGGTTGCACGGATTTGGGGAAGCAGAAAGCTGTTTTGATATAGTAAAGAGCAGATAGGATCTTGATTGATCTTTGTGGCAGAAAACTGACACTCAACCCTGGTGATAATATGTTTTCAGAAGCCTGGTGTCCAGGCTCTTGCTTACAAGACAGAGTGGCCTGGGGTGACATCTTCCTACTTTTGGAGCCTCAGTTCCCTTCTGTAAAATGGGATTAGTGACAGGTGGCAATCTCCCTGGGGACAAAGAGGTAGGAAGTCATCTGTCCTGTTCTCTGTCATGGGATAATGAATCCCAGAATGGGGCAGGTCAGGGTGGAGAGGAGGAACAGGAAGAGCAGGGGTTACCAGGACTCACCAGTCACCACGGTGAAGGTGAGAGTGTCTTGACTGGCATTGTATTTACGGTTGAAGTGCAGCTTCAGCTGAAAGGGCTGGCCCCGCCGCACCACCAACCTCTCCCGGCACAGCTCAGCAGTGTGGTGGTCGCGGTCATTGGTCTCCAGCTCCAGGTCACACTTCTGCATGAGCAGTTCTGTAGAGACAGTAGGAGACACATGAGCAAGGCTGGTGACACACCTGTGTTCCCTCCCATGAAGCACAGCCCTTCCCCCTGCCAACTCCCAGCCCTGGTCACAGAGAGGATGGCCAGAATGAATCTTCCTAACTCTTAATCACAAGGCTATTGCCCCTTGTGGCATGTTGGGAGAAGGCTCTGCCACGTCTCAGCTATGTGATCTCTTGCAATTCAATTTTTCTTGGGCTCAGTTTCCTCATCTGTTCACAGGTGGAAAACAGGGGGGCCTATTTCACAGGGCTGCTGTGAGTATTAAATAAATGAATGTGGGTAAACACTTAGCATAGTGCCTTGTGCATAGTAAATGCTTAATAGATGTAAACTATTCTCTCACTCTCAGAGGGTCCTTTCAGTTTAAATAGGGACAGTATTTTGTATAGTTAATTTCACAGACTTTGTCTCTAGATCCAGCTTTCAATTTACAGGAAATACACAGGACTGGGGAAGAAGTTACACACAGAACCAGGGCAATCAACAAAATTCAGACTCGGGGAAACTAAAGGCAAAGATCTGTTTTTCTTTGTTAGTTTGTTTTAACAAATAAACTGCAAGAAAAAAAAACAAAAGAAAAAGTTAAAGGAAGACTCTATAAAGAGAACCTTGAGACATTTCAACCCCCAGTGATGTGTGGATCTGATCTGGGTTGTCTAAAACCATTTATTACATGTATGAGACAACTGAAAATTTAGACACTGATGGAATGAATAATGGTGATATAAAAGAAATTTTGTTAATTTGTTTATGTCAGAAAAGAGAGTTCTTATCTTTAAAGACATATGTGGAAACATTTACAGATGAAATGATATGATGTTTAGGATCAAATAATAATATTCCATTCCTGCTGTGGAATATTCCAAATGGAGCTGCAGGTGGGAGAAGCTACGTGTTGGTGGTGGTTGAGACCGAGTAATGAGAACGTAAGAATTTATTGTGTTATTCTCTCTACTTTCAGGTATGTTCAATTTCTCCATAACAAAAAGTTTTTTAAATGTCAGGGGCTTTGGAGTCTTCCAGACCTGGGTTTTAGTTCTGTTGTGTTGCTGTGTGACCCTAGACAAGTGTCTTACCCTCTCTGTTCTTCATACTCTGAAATCTCAAAGCACCACTGTGAGCACAGAAGAGAAGTCTGGGACACCCTTCCTCAAGGCTTAACCCAGGAAAAGAGTTTGGTATATGAAAGATCTATTTATAGTTTCAGAGGGACCTGGGGGCCAGGGCAGGGGTGGGGTAAGAGATGGGAGGGAGCATGAGGGAAGCACAAACCTCATAAACCTTGGCAAGATCAAGATTGGGAAGACCTTAAGGCAGAAGGAGTGGGCAAGGCAGACTCAGTCATAGGGACACTGGAAAGCTATGGTCCAAGTGAGGTTTACAGGCAGGGATTTGCCCAAAATTACCCAGAAAGTTGGTCCCTCTAGTGAAGTGATTCTCAACGGGTATGTCACAGCACACTGGTGAGCCATGAGAGGATCTTAGGTGTGTCATGAAAATTTTTAAAGATCATTAATTAAATTATTTTTGAAAGAAGTTCAAAGCACAGTAAATATATTCTTTTTTTTTTTTTTTTTTGAGGCAGAGTCTCACTGTGTCACCCTGGGTAGAGTGCTATGCACACAGCAACCTCAAACTCCTGGGCTCAAGCAATCCTCTTGCCTCGGCCTCCCCAGTACAAGTGCCCACCTTACAACAGCCGGCTAGTTTTTCTATTTTTAGTAGAGACAGGGGTCTCGCTCTTGCTCAGGCTGGTCTTAAAACTCCTGAGCTCAAGCAGGACTGAGGCCTCCCAGAGTGCTAAGACTATAGGCGTGAGCCACTGCACCTGGCCAGTATATGCCTTTTTTTAAAACCTTTTTTTTTCTGATCAACGTAATTTAAGTGTGCTGTGGAAATTTAACTATAGTTCAAGTGAGCCATGAGATAAAAAACGTTGAAAACATTGCTCTAGTGGGATGATAGCCCAGGTCTTCTGTCTCCTGCTATGGAGTATTCCAAAAAAGAGGCACAAAAGGGCAGTGCCTGTGCCTCAAGGAATAGGGCACTGGCTTCATATGCCGGAGGTGGTGGGTTCAAACCCAGCCCCGGCCAAAAGAAAACTGCAAAAAAAAAAAAAAAAAAGAGGCACAAAAGTGCTCAGCAACTGCTGAGAGCGTGTATGTGGATTATCTCAACATCTCAAAGCTCCACTATCTCTCTTCCCATTTTACAGAGGAGACACTCTATGGCCCCAGGTCCCGTGGTGAGTGAGTTTAGGGATTGGAATTCAGCGCCGAAGGATTCTGGAGCCTGCCCTGGGGTCCCGTCTCTGCTCCCCCAGTCCTGTGTTGTTTTTGTGCCTGGGAGGAGATCTGCAGGACTGAAGCATCAGGGAAGCTTATCTCCCTGTAGTCACTGTAGGAGAGACCTCAGCTGGCCACAAAGAAAAACTTCCCGCTGTCCTGCTGGGGTAAGGAAATGTTGTTTTTGGAAACTTCAACCAACGCCTGAGAGCTTGAGCAGGAAAGAGGCCATTGTTGCCCTCCTGGGAAACCTGGGACAGATGGTCAGAGTCTCTGGTCTGGAGGAGGGTTTCTTGGTATATTGTCTGATGAAAGGTTTCTGAGAAATCATGCCTACCTCCAAGGTGCAGAAAAAAACCAGGGTCTAGAATCCTATGAGTTATAGGATTTCTACCCTGAGAAAGGACCTGAGGTCTTCCAGCCCTGTGAGGCCCTGTCGGAAGTGGCCACTGAGACAGTGGGACCGGAGGCTCACCGTAACTGGAGCCTCCAGGGTCTTCCAGCCCCACTGAGCCCCACTTTGGGAATGTGGGAGAGAAGCAGCATTGGGGACAAGCAGCCACTTAGGTAACACGTTGGGAGCTGGGTCCCAGGAAGGAGGGTGGCCAGGATCTCACAGCAGAGCGGGCAGGTCCACTGCTTGTCCTGACCATCCCCACTCTGCCTGCTCTAGGCCCCTCTCCCTAAACTCCTTCCTGGGGTGTGAGGGAATGCAAAGGCCATTCCCAGATGAACTTGACCCGAGAGCTATGGTGGATTCTGGGTCTCACAGAATTCCCTCAAGGATATCCTCCATTGTAGAAGCCTCTCCCCGTGGGAATTAGGACGATGCTGCCATTGGGTGTGTGTGTGTGTGTGTGTAGGGGGCAAGCAGGAAATTAGTAAGTCCCTGCCCCTCTCCTCTCAGCCTGCACAGATCTATCCAAGGCTGAGACTATTGTCTTTCTTTTATAGGAGAGGAAGCTGAGAGAGAGGAAGAACATAACGCCTGGTCTTAGACTGCTCCCCCATAGGATGCTGGAACCTCCTCTCTGGCCACTGGGGCCAAGGAATCAGCTAGGCTTGGCTTGCTTTCCACAAGGGTTGGTGCACACACACCCCTCCTGGCTGGCAGGGACTGACAAAAGCTAAGTGTTCTGAGCCGAGGCCATCACCCCCTTCCCAGCTTCCTGCCACCTGGCACATAGCAGGGACCCAGCACCCACTGACTGAGGTTAAGTGGCAGTGGTCCACCATGACAAGACAACATACCTGTATGTCCCACTGCCCCATCTTATCCAGTAAAGCAGGGGTTAATGGTTATGCCCTGTGGATGGGGAAACTGAGGCTCTAAGCCCATCCAGGCACCTCACACCTTACACCCAGCCCAGCCCAGACCTCCTGTTGCTCTCCAAACCAGGACTTAAGGATTGAGCTCCCAGTGTCCCATAAGACCACTGAGACCAGTGAGGCAGGCCCAGGGCAGCAGCAACGGCTCTGATACTCACCCGTGGCCGTGTCCGGAGACTCCCCCGTGGCCATGGTCAGGCAGTGGCGGTGGCTCCTTCGAGTGGCGACAGGACCCTCCAAATGCCGACCACTGGCTGCGGGCACTGCGGAGGCCGAGCGCGGCGTTAATTTATAGGGCAGCTTTGGGGAGGGGCGGGGCGCGCGGGAAGGCGGGGACCTGGCGAGGCCACCTACCTCCCCGACTTTCACCCACGCCTCTGGCCCGGCGCCCTCAGGGGACAGGAGTCCCAGGGAGCTTCGGAAGGGCCAGGGCGCCCCCTGGAGGAACGGACAGAGCGCAGGGCTGGGACAGCTGACTGAGGACAGGTAGACGCAACTAGTCCAGGACGCGCAGTCACACCTGGGCACAGAAAAACACCCTGTCACATACAGGTACACACGGAGCACCGTCAGGCAAAACACACGATTGAAACAGGACACATAGGCACACCTGAATACATAGACGTGGACTCACAGAGAGGTCAGAGCTGGGATAAAGAGAACCAGGGACACACACACACTCAGAATCAGATACACATGGAGCAGATAGACACACACAATCAGAGACCAGGGATGTGGACACACAGATACACACAGGGACACAGTTACATCCCAACACATACAGCAGACAAACCTGGATACACAGCCACAGTGACAAGGGCTACAAAATCAGATTAAAATCGCAGAGACGTACCAGGACATAGACACAGCTAGACACATACCCACAAGAGCCACACACAGCTTTGGACTCATAAATGAGTGGGTGTCCAGATACATCCTGCTCACGGGAGTGGATAGACAAAGTTGACCCACACCAGTATGCCTCCGGACACAAATTCAGATGAAGCAACCACAGACGCATAAAGATGGGGTTACTCAGAGATGAACACACATGTAGACATGGACACCCAAAGCTTTCACACACCCACAGCTTTCCCTGTAGCAAAGCACAGATAATCATATTTCCCTCTGTCCATCTATGCATCTAATCATGTGTCCACGTACCCATGCATCCATCCATCCATCCATCCACACATCCATCTTTCTATCCATCTAATTGTCCACCCACCTACTCATTCACCTATCTATCCATCCATCCACCCATCCATCCATCCATATATCCATCCACCTATCCATCCACCCACCCATCCATCCATCCATCCATCCATCCATCCACACATCCATCTTTCTACCCATCTAATTGTCTACCCACCTACTCATTCACCTATCCATCCATCCATCCATCCACACATCCATCTTTCTACTCATCTAATTGTCCACCCACTTAACTCATTCACCTATCCATCCACCCACCCATCCATCCATCCACCCACCCACCCATCCATCTATCCACCTACCCATTCAGCCATCCATCCCTTCACCTATCCATCTACCTACCCATCCATCTACCCATCTACTCATCCATCCACCCATCTATCCACTCATCTATCCATCCATCCACCCACTCATCACTTACCCACCCACCTATCTACTCACTCATTCATCCATTCCTTCCTCCCTCCTTATTTCCTCTTGTCTCCATTCATTCATCTGTCCATTGACCTTCCCTGAGGACTTACTGTGTGGCAGAAGAGAATAAAGCTTTCTAGGAACTAAGCCTTGGATCCCTTAAAACTGGCACCCTGGAGGACCTTCTCTTACCCTGATCCCTCCAGTCTCTCGGTTTCCTATGCTTCCCGACCTGCTATAAGGCCTGAGAATGAAGGTTCCCTGGAGATACAGAGACCTGTGGGGCTTCCCTAGCCCTTTTTCTGGAACAAGTTCTACGTCTATTGATGTATTTGGACTGGTCCTGGCCTCCACATCTGCATGCCACATGGCATGGGGAATCAGCCCATGTTGCTTCGGTGGATGTTTGTGCCAGGGTCAAATGTGTCTGGAGTGTCAGCGAACAAAACCATGAGCACAGAGTTGGGCCCTGCTGACCTGTGAAGTAACCCCATAGATGAGTCCTGTAATTGCCCCATTTTACAGATGTTGTTCCAGAAGCTATTCCTTGCAGCAGGTGAAAGCGGGAGGAAAGCGCAGGGTGAATAGATGTCAGTCAAAAGGCCGGGGTTCAAGCTTCCACTCTGCCTCTGACCGAGTGTGGGGGGACGGGCTGGCATTTGGTCTTTCACGACTTCTGTCTCTTGAGGGACAAGAATCTTCCCTTGTAGACCTGAGTGAGACTCAACCGCAGTGACCGAAGTTGGCTCCTTCTTACGTGGTGTGCACATGATAACTGGAGTCCCTGAGTCTTGGGACAGAAATATCAAGTGACCCAGAGCCTACCCTTGAGGTCCAGGGACCTCAGAGAGAGATAGGAGACATGAGGACAGTCAGCTTGGTAGCAAGAAGGCTGTACGCTTCCATAAGCGACAGCCCTGCTCCAAGTGAAAAACTGAATTTTGCCTTTGTCTACCCTTTTCTACTTGCGAAGGAGATGTACTTCTCTCCCAGGCATTAATTATCCTTTACAGCCCCCAAGCTGCGAGCTCCCTAGACCTACTCAAGGTCACCCAGGCAGGAAGTGAGAAAGTGGAGCCCATTGTACTCACTCTCCTGTGGTTCAAAGGTCAGTCCTTTCCCCTCCACTCCCCTCCCCTGGGTCAGGTCAAGTGACACCTCTGAGAACCATGGTCCACGATTCTCACCATGCTGTGAGGTATGCAGTAGATGCTAAAAAAATGTTTTGGCATAAAATATAGGGCTAGGAAAGGCCTCTGCTGTCAGGGCTACCTCTCATAGTCCCTGGATTACAGATGCTCTCGGGAATAGTGTCATTCGGCAGTGTTGCTCCTACCCCTTGGATGTGCCTGAGGTTTTTTTGTCAGTCTTCTCTTCTGTAACCTCATTGTTTTCATATTATTTCTTCCCTGATGACTCCCAAACATTTATGTCCATCCCTGACAAATCCCATGGCTTATGGGACACACTCACCTAGTTGTCACAGCTCAAAAGCACAAGAGGCTACCAACTGAACTCATGTTTCCTCCCAACCTTCTCCTTCGGTCCTAGACCCCGAAGCTAGAAATTCTCGGGTCCTCATTGATTCACTTGTGTCCTAACACCTCTCATTTCCTTTCCGACAGAAACCTCCCCCCATCTCGCTGTTATACCCATGCCACCCCAACATCCAGTCATCGAGGTGATTCTGCCTCTCTTACGTCAGCATCCTCCTTGCTCCACTAGGCATCCATCACCTCATACGTGCCTGTCGATGTGAACTCCCAGCAAGTGTCATTCCTCTTGGTCCTGCTGCTGTCAGAGAGTTCCTAAACCTAAATCTTTGCACAAAAATCTCCCTGCTGTCAATCCCCCCTCTTTTTTTTTTTTTTTTTTTTTTTACTAAAACTCATATCATTTGCTCTTAATCGTCCATGTTCTATGCACCATATACCCCACAATAAACACACTTA